TATTTCTCCACTTAGGCTTTTAAGCGGATTAATCTTATGAAGCATTTATAAATGGAAAATATAATTCTGCCCTTTGATCGTTAAATTTAACGAGGAAGTGTTGGTCATAGGCATATCCCTTCTCTCGCAAACAATGATTAATTTCTTAACGGAATGCAAAGAATAGCCACTAAAAACAGCCAGTTGATATTATACACTGAGACAATAATTTTATAATACAATGCCTGAGAGAACTTTGTAATATCTAAATATACCGTAGTATTTGCCTATTTCTACATATCACGCACGAAAATGAAAATACAACGTCAAATATTGTTTCACTCACTATAAGTTTACAAGTGAATAAAGAGTAACAAAAGTAGGCAGGTGTGGCTCTTCCTTTTTTTTCCAAGCTCCCTCCTTTCCTATCACTCAATTTTTCTTATCATTTTCCTTTAGATTTCCTATTTACTTTTTACATTTACTTTTCCAACGCCTATTATGATTCTCCAAGCGTAGCTTAGATATAGCACAAGGCCGAAAGTATGGGGCACCCAGTGAGGATCGAACTCACTCAGTCGTAATTGTTTTAACGAGACAAGCTTGCTAAACATTACAACACATCGAGGTGCCCCTTTTCTACGCCTATTTCGCTGTAATTTCTATAGTTTAAAAGCTCTCTCTAAAAATCACGACCAACAATAATCTTTTTATGTCCACATTTATGATTGATCGAGTGATTCGTTTTCTACAGCTTATCAACCCTTTGAAGGTTATTTAAAGCCAGAAAATACATTTAGTTTGTGAGAATATTTTTGGCGATAATACTGATTTCGTGATACAAGTCATAATAATTAACCCATCACAGGGAGGTAAGAGGCAGATTGATTCTTTTCCCAAAGGTATCTGCACGTAAGCGAATATAACGAACCCAACTGGAATTGGAACTCCGCCTTCCGATTAATAATGCCATGCTATTATGCATTACACTAACCGCACATCCAAGCTTTCAGCACCTATCGGTCACCCATCTAGGTAAGGGCCAGACTCGACGTTGCTTCAACGTGTTATGACCGTAAAACTTAGGTAGATATTTAGATATTTTCAGAGGGTTCTGTCATATCTATCATAAGAAGCTTAAAGCTGATTACCGAAAGTTGGCAGTCGAAGCTAGTATTTGAATTGAGAGTTTTACTAGTTTTACTTCTTTGACTGGTTGCCATCCAATGTTAGGGACTCCACTCTTCCCTGTTATTTAACATACAACTCTGGATAGAAGAAATGAATCAATGACTTTCCCAAGGCCATTAGTACAAAGAAAATGCAACATAAACGGATGGAATTTAAATACGACTTGCAGATTCCCATGATAATCGTTACACTACCAACATCTTCTCCTTTGATTTCTCAATTCTGTCGTACTGCGGCAATGAAAAAATAAACAGATTATGGCTACATATATATCTACTGTATGCGTGTGACACGTCACATTGAGTGAACAAGCATTACACGGTCTGTGGAAAGTGTGGGTGGTAGCGTTACTTTGTTCTAAAGCAGATCCTCGTTTTCTTTTTGCCATTCTGATTTTTCTATGTGTCACGTCCCTGCAAGACGTTAAAGATTATGTCTCTCCACAATTTCCTCACATTTTTTGCTCTTTTTATATTGTCATTTTGCTAAACTCAGTTCTGCTATCCATTTACACAAGTTCGCTCGTTATGTTATGCGTTCTTTTCCTTTGTCCGTTTTGCCTTCAAACTTTCCTGTGAGTTTCAAATTTTCCAATCCCTCTTTACTCACTATTTACCCTAGGTTGCTTCAAATTCTCTTCTTCATCTTCAAGGAGATTGTCCAGCATTCAGTGCCATATACGTAAACTGATATTACTTCACAGTTCAATACTCTGCTCTTTATTACTAACGACAATTTTCTGTTTTTTAATAACTTGCTTAGCTTTTTGAAAGGTATCATTCGCTATCTTAATGTGCCTTCAGGTTTTGGTAGCACATTTGTCTATCAACATTTATAATCACGAATACATTACGCAGCTTTCTGCTGTGAAATTATAAAAATACGTGCTCAACATATATATTTTTTATAGAGACATACATAAATGTTCTAGGACCTACACATACCCAAAAGCCTGAACAAATGATGAAACACTAAACGCATATATGCATGTATGTATGTATATATGTAAGTATGTATATAAAGGTGGTGAGAGTTTCCACGAACGTGCAATGAATAAACCCTGCAGCTGGGAAAGGGGAAATCATCAACAAGGAACCAGCAATTCATCAATTTACATATGATGAATGTGGCCGAGTATGTCTCTCCAACGTATGTCTCGTCAGTCACAAGAAAAAGTCATATTGGTAGACCTTTGACAAATTACCATCCATACTATGCTGTGTCGTCAGAAGACCTGTAGAAAAACGCTCAGGTCTCACCCGTCACGTGATAATCCACGAGCAACCTGAACTGAATTTATAAAGCCGTCCGGGGCCTGGATAGAACAGCATAGTTTGTCGCGTCTGAAATAAGTCTTCTACAGCATTGTCGTTTAACGGATCGACAGCCATTTTACATTAGAGAGAGAGGTAGAGAGAGAGAGCGAGATAGAGAGAGAGAGGGTGGGAGGGTGAGACAGACAGACTGAGAGTGTGAGAGGGAGGGAGACAGGGTCACACAAAGAAGAGTAGCGACATTAAAGAAGGGAAAGTAGCCTCAGACCGGCGCATTTACAATTATATTGATTGTGATACAGCGAAAAATTATGGATAACCTTAAAGAATCATTTGAAATAAAATTATTATATAAACGGTGCGTTGGATAAATTGTCGTCTCATTTACGCAAAAAGGAAAATAATACCGGCATCTCATTTTGACACCTATATTTACCAAAATTGCACAAACATATCTTGAAAAATATAGAGTAAATTTATTCAACAAAAACGCTACAACCACGGCCTCCAGAGACGAATTCGGAATCTCCCGCATCTCTTCTGGACTGTATCCTTGTTTAAGTTGGTGAATGATGCCATATTCCTTACCTTCAGTGATCATTGGTGTTACAAGGTATTTTGTTGGATTCTCGCTCAACTGCACGCCACACACAATAAACAAAAGTGTCTAATATCGGGAGTTAGGAAGGCAAATGTAAGGGGTGATGTGGTCGCAGAAATTTTCAGACTGCCATGACTGGATTCCCCTTTTGACCCAAGGAAGTACTACCTCCTCAAGGCACTTGATGTCAGCTTCGTCTGAGGTCCTCACCAGCAAATTCGAGACTTCTTTTCTTATCAGTACGATCAGAGTGAGTTTTCCGAACTGCCGTATCTTCTTAATGACCATTTGACTCATCCAAATTTTTCCGAATTCTCTGCACTGGCACTGTTATTGAAGTAATTTGAAATGTTCGTATTGCAGCTTCCGGCGTTAATGCCAAGTAGTACAGAATGTCGTTTCCAAATTTATGGCGGAGGGAATTGCGTCATTGTGATCCAATACTTACAGACGATGCTTAACTGAAACTGCTATACTGTGTAGACGACAAAAAAAAAAAAATTAAATAAATAAAAAATAAAATAAAATGGCGACAGTTTACCCATCGCACCTTGTATGATACTAATTTTCAGGTAAAAGCCAGCAACTGATATCTAAATGGAAATGAAGTATAGATATGTTATATTTTCTAAAACTTAACGCTCTATCCCTCTTCATCTTATTTCCAATTTTATTGCGTTTATCTTCCACATTGTATTAATAAAACGGCTACCGTTATTTTGGCTTTCATACTTGAACGCAATTCTTGTACATGTAGATTGGCTTAGGTATAAAACAGACTGTTGCTACAGGCTATAAACCTCAGTGTCCATTTCTATATTTACATACGCACTATTCTATATACTGAGCAATATTACCATAACTTCAAAAAGAATATATATATATATATATATATATATATATATATATATATATATATATATATATATGAAAAAAATATAGTTTTAAAGTGTGCAATATTTATGGGATAAAGTACACATATTACAGATAAAGCGTATATAAATATAAATATATAGTGAACATTGAAGTCAACAGCTTGTCGCCTCTGATTGTTGACTTCAATGTTCACATATATATATATATATATATATATATATATATATATATATATATATATGTGTGTGTGTGTGTGTGTGTGTGTGTGTGGGTGGGTGTGTGTTGAAAGTAAACGTCTGCAGTGCTAAAGTAAATGACACTCATAGTATTTAAACGTGAAAGCTTTTGTGTAGCGATTTCACAATATTTTATTATATATAATCTATTTATAATATATATATATATATATATATATATATATATATATATATATATATATATATATATATATATAAAAGTCAACATATAAGTCAACAGTTAGAAGCGAAAGTCTGTTTCATGCTAGACGCAATCGTCAGGCAGTAAGTGTTGACTTCTATGTTCACGTTTATATTTACAGTCGCTCTATCTCTGATATTGAGAAATTTATTCCATAAACGTATCACATCTTAAGACTATATTTCTTCATATATATATATATATATATATATATATATACTCTCGCAAACTTGTTTTTTTTTTCAATTGAATCATTTTTCAATAATGATACTGTTAATTAAAAAATTAATAAGTTTTTAAAATGAAAATTATTTTTTTAGAAAAGAAAACTAAATTTTCTATTCATCTATATTTTTTTCAATAAATAATTAGTGTTCATTAATTTTTACTGGTTTGATCTTTTTTCTGGGATTCTTTCAAATTATGGAGTATATGATATATATTATCGTTTTGTCGTGCCAATGAATCGAAAACTTTATGATTTTCCTTGCGTGTAAATTGATGTCAAATTTTAATAATCCTAGAAAATTAATTTGTCAAAAGTCCATATTTCATCGGGTGTATAACAATTCACGAAGCCCTGCGTAAAACAATACCCGCGAGCCATTAGCCATTACACCTTCCACACATCCAAGCATACCGATCCTCCCAAGCGGTCATACATCTAGGTACTGACCTGGCTCGAAGTTGCTTAACTCCGGTGATCAGACGAGGACTGGTGTTTAAACGTGATACCGTCCTAAGCCAGAAAGAAAGAAAATAAGATTAATATTAACATCAAATAACTGAAGTACTGGTGTTTCAACATCATTTGGTCGTAAGCCTATTAACATAAGTTAACATAATGAAAAATAACACTGACATCTCATTTTAATTGATACTAAAATGACAACAGAATATCTTGAAGTACTAAACCGTAAATTTATTCAATATAATCGTCATTGACTTCAAACTACGGCCTTCAGAAAACTTCGGAATATCCTGCATCTCTGCTGGACGGTCTCTTTGTTTAATTTGATAAATGTTGCCATAATCCTAGCCTTCAGTCCATATCTGATTCTACGAGGAGTTTTGTTGGTCTCTCGCTCAACTGAATACATAATAATCAAGTTGTTGCAGTCTTGGGAGTTAGGTGGCCAGATGTAAGATGTGATGCTGTCGTAAAAATTTTCTGGTCTCTCCTGCTACTGTGGTATGGTGCATATGGTCTTTCAGTAGACTCCCTCCTGACCCAGGGTAATACTACCTCGTTAAGGCTCTTGATGTTGGCCTCCATGTTGAATCTTAGACCCTGTGGGAGGATGAATGGAGGCAAAACTTCACCATCGCTGGTGTTCACTCCAAACACTATGATTTTCACTGGATATATCATTTAACTGTTCCAGAATGTTCTGCAATGTGATCAGGCACACACACAAGAGGGATTGCTACCCACATACCCAGTTGTGTGTGTGTGTGTATATATATATATATATATATATATACAGAAAGAGAGAGACAGAAACAGAGGCAGAAGGAAACAGAGAGTTAGGTTAGGGGAAAAGAGTAACATGCTCGCATGAGATTAGTTGCATAATACATTTTTAGATGCATCACGAGTGGTCTTCAGTGTTGCACTGACCTCACCGCCGATTTCGGGCTTTGCATTATATCGTCTCAAACACCAACCACGACCTGATTCCAAAGCAGGCAAGCCGCCCCCTTGAAAACGTCGTACTACGCACCTTGACATTGCAACATTATAACAACAACATAACCAGGATTGAAAACGTTCTTATTGAAATACTTCCACCAGCAACAGCCAATGAAAAAAGGCTTTTCACGCCACGCCCTCCTATATACTTGTTGTTTTTTCTCCTTTCCTCAGGTTTCGATTCGAGTTATTTCCCCTGGATTCCTCACTCGGTTAGCTGGTCCCTTTCTTGTATAGTTTAATTCAAATGTTTCATTCGTTTTAATTTACTAATTGTATATAAGCAATTTGTTGACAGCTGCAAGGGATAGAGGGAGGTGCAGAGCCATGATCGCCTACGTCATGAATTTCATAGCACATAAAAAGAAAAAACTAAACCTACACGCATAACGAATCGAAATCTATCATAATCCTATACGAGCTGCTATGCTTTGCCAAAAATTAGTCTGTCTTGCAGAAGAGGGAGATCATTTAAAAAAAATGTCGCTATTCTTGCTATCAGATCATTCTTTAAGTTTACATTTACCCTAATTCCACAAAAAATTATTTTAGTCTATACATGCATGTACACACACAAATACGTATATATGTACATACACGTACATGCACAAGGGCAAATGTATATATTTATATATCCCCCATTTACATTAAATTTCTTCGACGAAACAAGTGCTACAGGGTCGACAAACCAGCCACTGCAAAATTAACTCGTACTATTTATTTGAATTTTTTTCTACTTCATGATTAACCGACTAAAACAATTCAATGTCCTAACCTAAAAAAATATGTTAACTATTCAATTAACTAACCTATACACATATTTGCTATATGTTAAGTATTACTCGAAATAAAGCTGACCAATTAATACTAGTATCGAAAAACGACATTTCAAAAATCTTTGATTTCTATGCTAGTACTTAATATAATAATTTAAGTCTTTGCCCTCTGAAATTTCTTCCAATATTAACAGACAATTAATCAATAAATAGAGAAATAAAAAGTCGAAAAGCAAAAAACAAAAAAAAAAGAACAAGGGCGTCCATGAACGCACTCCCACATCTGCCAGCAATGCTCAACCCTTTCCACCGTTTCTCGTTCTTACACCACTGAACCTTCTATCCACACTCAATCAAAAATTAAAACTCATTATCCATAACTATTCAACTGCCCTGATTCAATATATTAACATATTATTCCCCTGTACCTTGTAACCCCTCACCCCTCAACCGGATCCTTAAGTATGCTTTATGAGTTCTTTACTTTTTTTTCCTATCGTCCTCAATTCTTCTTCTATGGCTCCGATCTCTTCAACCAAATCCACTTTGAAGCAGTTACAACTTAATTGGTAATGTCCTTCAGCGCTCTAGCCCACGCTACTCCAATTATTCCTTCTTTTGTCAGGGCTCTGCACAACGAATGTCCTGAAAAAACCCTGCAACCAAGTTCTACTGAGTCGCAATATATTTACTGTGGCTTTGTTCAATCGCTTCTTGGTATTTGGACCTCTTTCTCTCGTTTGCCAGTGTAATGAATTCCTCGCATGACACAGGCATTTCCAACTCAATGCAATGATTCGTGTTGTCAGAGTGCAATATCAGGTCAAGACTGAGTGATGTTACGTCTACGTGTCTGGGGAAATTAAGCTATGAACTGCCAATCATCTACAGAACAGCTTTCTCTCTATATCTTTGATAAAGTTATTCTGATTCAACTTCCTTCCTGGTTGATGATTTGTAGCCCTTATTGTTTTTGTCACCTCGTTTGCAATTGCTTTAAGGGCTTGGCCGTGACTCCAACAGTACCGACCATCACCCAAATCTTTGGGGAAACTACTAAGGATGTGCTGTAGATATCCTTCATTTGTACATATTTGCCAATTTTGGGTCTCGCTCTTTCCCCATATGCGGGTTAGTTGGGCTGGGCATGACATCATACATCGATTTGATAAGAAATCGAACCTCGCTAAAATCCGACAGCCAGAACTCATTAGCTGACCCATTTTGTCCAGACTCCCTATTAGAACGACCATTTTATATTATCGAGCTTCTTCTAAAACCGCACGTACTTCAATGAGTTGGCGTCTTTCTTTCCCTTTGGCAATATTGGTTTGGGGACTGGAAAAAAAAACAACCCCGCTTTGTCTTTAGCTATTTACACACGTATAGGTTTATGCCCAAGTCTCTCCTTCTTCCCTCGCAACTATCCTCAAGCGCCCCATTACCTACCAGATCTTGTCTGACTTTCAGCTTCTTCTAATTTTGGATTTCTGGATTCTTCATACTGCAGCCCTTCTCTCGTTCTCGTGAATTTGAACTCATGCGCAAGGCTACTAAAAGGAAGTGCAATGCGTTACCATAGAAGGTTGCACCACGTAAGCATCTCAATAAACCCATCTACCTTCTCAACTGATTACTATTTTCTAAATTAATGTTTCTACGGTGGTAATGTGAACATCATAAACGAGCAATGGCCACAATATACGGGGCAATACTACATGCTGGAAAAGTCATGCCCTGAAACGTCCTGATTTTTCGATCTTGGTCAGCCACTTCTCAGATTCTTTATAGTCTGCTGGATTGCGGCTGTGTCCTTCAGGCTACTTTTGAAAGTCTTGCCCGAGCTCAAAAGGGTTTTCACTCAGAGTCGGAACTGTTGATCCTGCGATTGCAAATCAGACTTTCTCCATGACCTTGCCTTTTTTTTTCAATACTAGCGACCTAGATTTTACTGGCTTGTAATTCATTCTGGTCCAAGTCAAATTTTCCTCGAGCCCCTTTAAAAGCCATCTGACTCCCATGACAGATGTCGTTGTCACGGTTGAAACATCTATGTAAACCCTTATATGTGGCTGAGGTTCTCCTGCCCGATACAATGGGCCTCGACATTCCACCTCGGCTGTTTTCACTAGCATGTCCATGGCCAATGAAAATAGGACAGCAGATATCGTACAACCTGTAATAATCCTCCTTTCCAGTGTCTTCTATTCTGACAATGTTGAAGCTGAACCTACTCTAGGCCGAAATTAGTAGTTGATTTTGAAAACGCATGCCGATGAAGTCACGTGATGTCTCTTTAGGGTTTCTTCTACCAGTTTGTTTTGCATGGACCTATAGACATTGGCGAGATCCAACTACAGCATAATCAGGTCACGTTTGCTTTCCTTCGCCTCTCCAGGATCTGTGTCTGGACTCCTGTGTGCTCAAGGCGAACCAGCATATCGGTGACCCCGCCTTTCTGGACCTATGTATCAATGTAGCCATTTCTAAGAATGAAGTTCGAAAGGCGTCTTAACCCGAAAATATCTTACATTCGGTATACAGCTGGGAAATGATGCGAAATTGATCCAGCGACTTTGATGTTTCACCCTTCAGGATCCATACCCCCTCAGCGAATCTACACTGCTCCACGATTCTGCCCGTCCTCTTGCTGACTATTAATATTTTCCACAACCTTTGGAGAATACCGGTACACCGCTTATACACAATGTAAGTTATCCCACGTGGTCCTAGTGCGAAGGCGGATCTGGTTACTCTTACAGCTTCTTGAATTTCTTTCCAGGTGGGCAAACCAGTGTCAGATTGAAACACTGGTGGCTCTTGAGGAATCAAACGGGTATTTATACCCAGTTCTTGATCTTATGCAGGGTGACTCATGGAATTTCGAAGATAACTGTTAATTTCTTCCTCCGATACCTCTAATTTTACACTGCGATTATCCCTTACCAGTGTAAGAAGAGTTTGACAGGAAATTCGCTTGATCTTTCTTTCATTCTCTTCCTATGCCACTCAGCTCGCTGTATGGTTCATAATTTCCCTCTGAGTATTCCTCGGAGCTCCTTGAGGCGTTCACGCTCGTCTATTCTAGCCTTTTTAAAAAGCTTCTAAAATACTTTTATTTCTTTTCTCACATTATTCTATTGAAGATCAAGGTACGGGATCAGAATATATAGAAAATGTACAATACACTTAAGTACTGAAGACTTGTTAACTTGCAATAGATATCTACTGGAATAGAAGATTATCAATTATTCTTTTGAATGA